AGAATCACGGTATCTTCAGAGATTATCTAAATCAGTAGTTCTCTACCCTGACTGCATATTAGAATCACCTAGGAAAGTTAATTCCCCTGCCTGGACCCACCTACAGAAATTATTTACATGGTCTGGGGTGAGGCCTGGGTTTGGGTATTGTGCAGAAGCTCCCCCGGTCACTGTAATGTGCAGCCATGGTTAGGCCCATGAATTCTCAGACAGCCCATATATTTCACATTTGAGGAAACCAAGCCCCACTGAAAGGAGGTGATTCTCCAGCCTATGATGTTAGAGACTCTGTATGTAAGAAATCAAGTTCTCTCCTTTGAATCATGATGTTCTAACCAAACTTTTTTTAATGTTTAACTTTCATCTAAGAATATACAGCAGGAAAAAACTCTGATTCATCAAATCAAAACTAAGAATTGTATTCATTTCTGAGAATATGGCCTCTAGGTACACACTGTTTTCTTTTACCCCTCTCTCCATTCCATGTTCAAACTCATTGGAGCTTTTGTAAGCTGGGTGAGGGCAGGTAGGTCCTGGGTCTGTCTTGTCTGCAGCCTAAGTCCTAGCCCTGAATACTGTGTTTGGCTCATGTGAACCTCTCAATAAATATTTGCTCAACTAAATAAATAAAATCAGAGTCTCCTGGATCCACCCACTGCTTCCTCTCAGACCAAACCCTCCTCAGACCAACCCAGTTCCTCCTACCTGGGTAACTGTTAACAATCTCCTTGCTAATTGTTTTTTTCTAATTTCCCAGCTTTTTTGCTAACTTCCCAGCCTTCATTCTCTCCCAACTAATACATTCTGCATGTAATTTTCAGATTAGATTTCCTAATGGCAGTCATATCATTCCCCTGCGCCCCCCCTCCCCACATCTCTGTTTGGGTTTCATCCTTACTTTCACCTGACCGATTACTCAACATTTTTCTTCACTGTTTCCCATTCCCAAACCTGTGCCATGTCCACAGCTCCAATTTCTTCTGTTCATTCATACTTCAGTGACTTGAAGTAGTGGACAGACCATGGAGTCAGACTGATAGTAAGCAGTTCAGATTGAGTTCAAGCTACATAATTACTCTTGACTCAGTTACTTTATCTATAAGAAGATAATACACATAATATAAAGAGAATGTAGCCTTGGATTTACCTTTTTTGCTTAAGTCAACTTGGTCTGGGTTTTCTGTCATATGCCTTGTCATGAGTTTTACCTCTTGAAAAAGAGAAAAGCAGCCAGGAGTTGGCTTGGCACTTACAAGCCAACGTATTCTGTTAATCACAAAACATTTCACAGAACTTTAACACCAAAGTCACTCTGTGACCATGAGACAGCAAGACAAAAATAATTTAGTGATTCATGTTTGAACACGGACAAAAAGACCACCACTATCCAAACTACAAAAATGATCAAGTATCTTTTCCAGCTAATACAAGGGACTGATGTTGCTTTCTTATTACAGCTTTAGCCCTAACTTATTTGTCCCACCACCAAGGTAAGATTCATAAAGAAATCCAGTCACAATCACCCTAATAGTACCGAAATTTGAGCCAATTCTGCTGCCTTACACCCACCCCAAATCACCTAGCACAGCTGCAGTCCTTTAAGTCCCTATCAACATCCTTACACTGATATCCCCATGGTCCCTGATGGTGTTCTCACTCTCACTGCAATGTCCACCAAATCCAACTTTGTGGACTACAGGTGTGTTCCTAGCAGACTTTGGACTGATGGGCATCAACATTCTATAAAATATTTATTGAAGTGATTATGAAGTCAGGTGCTGGAGCCAAACTGCCTGGTTTTGTATTCTGGCTTTTTCACTTCCTGGTAACTTTCTCTAAGTCTCTGTGCCTCAGTTTCTTTAACAGGTTAACACAATTATCAACTAAGTAAGGTATGACAGGTAAAGCCTCAACAAATGATAGCTATTCTTTTCATTTGTTCTGGACAGAGTCTTGCATATCCCAGATCCTTTCCTGTGTAAGCCCTCCAGGCCAAGAGATTTAAAGGCCTACAAAGCCTTACGAATTTGAAGGGGAAAATCTACCACCCTGTAATATGCCACTTTGGCTTATTCACTATTTTGAATTAGTTACTTAAGAAACAGCCAGTGCAAAGGACACTCTGACCCTTCTTTGTCCCCCTGAAAGCAGTAAAATACCTGCTCTGTATTATGGAGTAGAAGGCATCCTTATCACCAGACACAAGGGAATTTGGAGCCAAGGCTTGGTTCCCCCAAGAAACTGAATGGAGCCAGTCCAATGTGCATAACTGTGAGAAAAGACTGCCTGGTTTCTGAACAGAGAGAAGTTTAGAAACATGTTTACACTAAGCCATTTACAGAGCATGAGCAATGAAGTCACACAGGCCTGGGTTTAAATTCCAATGTGGAATTTATTGACTGTGTGATCATAGGTAGACTGTTTAGCACTCCATGCCCTTGGTTTTCTTATTTGTAAAAGGGAAATAGCTAACTTGAAAGACAGCTGTAGATTAAATGAGATAGTGTATAGACTCTAAAGAGAGGCCCTCAAGTAGTAGCCACACCACTACCATTCCTCTTCAATTTAGACTCCCTCCCTCCTTCTTTGCCCCATTCATTTCCACTCTTCCTTAAAGACAGCTCATGGTCAGCCACCTCCTGCAGGTGCTTTTCTCGGTTCCCCTTCCCACTCTTTATGCTGATATTTCTAAAGCATCTCACGTATCTCTATTGTAACCATTCTACCCTGACCACACTTACCTACGGCTGTTTGTTCCCATGTTTGCTTCCTGCATTAGAACTGCAGGCTCCTTGAGTTCAGAGAGCACATTTGTCACCCATAAGCTGTCAGGACAGGGCCTGGCAGGAAGGCAATCAATGGCCACACATGTATGACATGTGTGGGATCTGCATAACTCAGACCACCCCACCTCAGAGATAAAACAAGTTACATGTTAATGGTTCCCTCTCTTGGGAGAAAATATATTCAATCCTAATTGAGACAGCAGATCTGATTCCCAGTCTGGTTTTTTCAATCATAGAAATCTAGGGCAGGAAAGAACTTGAGAGTGCCTCATTAAAGGGGAACAGAGGCATGTGTGTCTTTAAAAAAAACATTCAACATCGTTAAGTTTATATTTGGAAAATTTAAAGAAAAACCTTATTTTGTTGTGTTTTAGAATAAAGCCCAAAAAAACCTTGGTTGGTAGGGATATTTATGCGTCAGATCACAGGGAGGGCAATCAGAACTGGGGCCGAGAAACATGAGGAACCTGTTTATCTAAAAAAGGCAGGGGTTATTAAAGTTTGATAAATACTGTCTACTTCCAACCACTTCTTCACACACAAGGGAACTGAGGCCCAGAGGCGTGAAGAGTTGTAACCAAGGTCACACAGCTAGTTGGCAACAGGGGGCGGACTCCCAATTCCCAGATTAGTGTTCCTCTATTGCACCATGTCTGACCATGGCTTTGTGGTGAAGTGGCATAGCCATAGGGCAGGAGGATCACTGGGTGAGAACTGAGAAGTGGATAGCATGGTGTGATCTTGGGGAAGTCAGTTCATGAAACTCGGTTTCCTCATATGTAAAATGGGAAAGATAATACTCTGCCACTCAGGGCTACTTAAGGATCAAAAGTGACAAAGCCCTTTATAAAATACAACATACTGTTTCAAAGTGGTCTTTCTGGCATTTAATCATGCAGCTGGTAGCTCTCCAACCATTTCAGCATTACCACAAACTGCCATTTCCAAACAAGTAGGAAACTCAATGCTGATCAAAATCCCCAAGTACTTTTTAAATCAAGAGTAATGGTCGGTCTCCTTACACCTAATTGACTCCACTAAAAACCATTCTCAATGCAGCCACCCATCTTTTTCAAAATGCACATTTCAGTGGATCATATTACCCTCCACTTGAAATTCAGCAACTTCCTACTCTCAAGACTAAATGAAAACATGGGACTTTTGTACTGCATGGGCTGGTTTCTGCCTACCATTCCAGATTTTTCTAACCAATGACTCTATCCCAGATGTACTAGATTCCAACAAGATTCTCAATACCGTAAGAACTTGACTTATGCTGTTCCCTGCCTAAGACACCCTTTCCCCCAGGTACTACCTTGCCTCTTCTAGGCCAGTTCAAACTTTTCAGTTACCCTCATTGACTAGGTCAGACTGTTCTATAAACCCCTCTTCTTTGTTGCACTTTTATCAGTTTTTATGCATTTGGCAACATGATTCTACTGGTATCAGGGTACTGCTACCTCTTTAAGGCTTTAAGTAGAGAAAGGTGCCACATTCCTTGAGACCACTGGAAAACTAAGTAATTGGTATGGCTCTAGTAACCTCCCATTATTCTCTTCTCACCTCCTGCAATCTGGAGTTTGCCAAACAATTCCGCTAAAGCTCTCAAAGGCCACTTTATTTTGAGCAGGAGCCATCACTGATAAGTTTTAAGCAGTAGATGACCAACGTTTTTACAATGGTCAGTGATTCCAGCTGGCTGAGTAAATTATCATCTTTCAGATACGGACAGCAGCAGATTTAGTAGGTAGAGTTTCGATTTGAAGGTTTTGAGTTTCTAGTACCTACAAAGCATCTATATGATTGGAGATTTCAAATAGGCAATTGAACACTGGTTCAGAGCAGTACCATGCTCACCCAGAGCCTTTATGCTAATTAGGAAGGTTGGCATTTTCTGAAGCAGAAGGCAGGTGTGATTCCAGTACTGAGCACCTATGCACAGAAGTGTTCTAGATCCTCAGGATTGCATTCACAAACTATAAAAATACTTGAGACTGTCAAGAGAATTTTAAAAGTTTATGAAGTCATACACAAAACTGTGCTTCATTACTTCCTATACAACACTACATAAGCCTTAGGACATTTATAAAAGCAATAAATTTCAGAAATCCTGGGTAAAAAAATCCAACTATAAGCTATGTCCTTACTTACAGAAACTATCAAAGGAAAACCAGAATCGTGTAAACAGCATATACTTATAGAAGAGATGGAAACTTAACAGAGTACAATGTTTTTTATTCACCAATAAACTAAAATTCCACTTCTAGATGTTTCTCCCTTGTATGTTTCATTTACTTTATTAGCAAGCAAAGGTCTACAAGGCACAGCTTCACCTAGTCTTCAGATTCAGAGCCATCTTCATCTTGACTGATCTGGAAATAACGAAGTTCATAAGTCTCCTTGTCAGATGCAACCACACGAAGCCAATCACGAAGATTATTCTTCTTAAGGTATTTCTTGGTAAGGTATTTCAAATACCTTTAAAATAAAAACATGAATTTCACTGAATATAATGTTTACCATGTAAAGGCTTATTACATAGAAGATACGCATTGCCATATTCATCTTTTGTGTTCCCAGTTCCTGCTTCAAAATTTCACTTGTATTAAGCATTGCACAGGTTCCTAGGGATACAAATGAGCAGCCCCTCAATCCCAATTAGAATTGACTGATGCCCTAACAAACCCCTTATTGTCCTCTCCCTAAAAACTACTTTTGTTAGAAACCAGTAGCTTGTTCAATCTATTACAACCAGATTATTTAATATACAATTTCACCCTTCTAATCAATTATATACTGAAATATCAACATTACCTTTACCCCTATTAACCTGCCCCAACCTCAATCCCATGGGTGGATCAATAAGAAGCAACCTAACCTGCCAACAGCTGTATCCATTTACAAATTCAAGATTACAACCTTATTTCATCACTTTTATTCCCTTCCACTTAATAGCCATTTAGTAGCAATTCTGAACTGCCAAGCATTCTTCGGAAGCTTCCCTGCCTGTTGTTAAGGCTGGCTGTTCCGTTAGGATACCTTATTCCACTGGCAACGCTACATTCATTCTCAGGTTCTCTGCAAATTCTTGTCTTGTGCCTATCTCTACCTTCAATACAGCAATCACAGCATTCCATTTTTATAATTATCTGCACATCTGTAAGATCTTTGAGGACAGGTATCTCTAAATCCCCATTAGTTAATTCATAACTACACAGCTAATCTGCACTGCCACGTTAGCCCAAGCCACAATCTCTCCCAACAGGCTCTTCAGTTTCTACAAGGCTTTTTCAGCCACAATGATCAATTCTCTAATTTGCACAGCTCACTACTGTTTTATTCAGATGAAGCTCTCCCTGACCACCTTATCTAAAAACATCAACCCTGCAACTCTCTTTATTCACTTACACAGCACTTTATCAACTACTTAATACTGCATTTCATTATGTATCTTCACTAGAACTTAAGATTCTTTGTGGTGGGTTTGCCTGCTTGGTTTGCTGCTGAGCTACCCAGTCCTACAACAGTGCTACCATGTAGTATTTAACATTTGTGGAGGAAAGTGAATGAACTATAAAACTTGCAGCAAAATGTTAGAGACTATCTTTGGTTGTCTACTTATAATAAACAACCCAAACCTTAAAAGTATGTAACATCTGTAGTAATAGGCTATGACATTACTTCTATGTTACACAATAGATGTGTTTCTTGCCATACATTCTAATACTAAAGCACCCAACCTTGTTTACATTTATATAAAATCTGGATTACAGGGCCTATAATTCACTGACAGGAACCCTGGACATAACTTGCCTGTATTCAGCAATAAATTAACACCCACTGACAACCAGCCTAAGTAACAGGCAATGTTACTAAATATTTTTCATTCAGAGGCCTTTAAAGTTCAAAGCACTCTTGATATATCTCACTCACCTCACCATCAACAGCTATTTTTGCATATTAATAAGGAATATTAGGATTTCATATTCTATTAAAATATTCCAGTTACCATAATTTCAATAAAATATGAAAAATACCAACCTTTTAGAGAACTGTTTCTCAGAAACAACTGTGATTTTATTCTTGAAGCGTTCAATATGAACAACATTCCCAAGATTTCCAGTTTTTCCATTGACTTTAACCTTCTCTCGTAGAAACTGTTCCTATTTCAAAATAGAAAAAATGCAAAACTAGGGAAGAAAACCCTAGATATTCACTAGGGAAGGTACCCTAGGAATACAGCTTAGGTTAAAATAAAATATTACATACTTAAAATTATTAAGAACTCTACTAGAATAATAAAAACAAGCTATGTTAATTGATACTTACAAAATTTCCAGAATCAAAAATCCCATCTTCTACTGGATGAGTAAGGTCCAAATTAAACTTCCAGGTTGACCTCTTAGGCTTTTTGTCTTTGTGCTACAAAAAGCATAATTAGGATCTCTAAAACAGTTTTTCACTTCACTCTTTACCACACAAGTGTCTCAAAGTGCAAAACTCAAGAAAGCTCTAAGTACGTATGTGGTGAGCTATTAGTGTCCTTCGTCAGAAGATTCCAGAATCTTTTTACAACCTGAAGAGTTATCAATCTACTTTCTACTGCAAGTTACAACTAAAAACACCAACCGGGGTTCGTTGGAACCTCTAATCAAGCCCATTTTGTTCAAAGTTCCCAAGAAAAGCTTTATGAGTTTTTATTGGTTTCCGCACCACCAATGTTCAATTTTAAATTACCAGGTACTGTTTACGACAGGCCAGGCGCTATCGGGGAACAGGTATCCACCTAGACCATCCTCCAATTACTTGCCAAAATAGGATATTCCACCCAGTTAGACCTAAATAAAGAATTCTGAAGCTGTTTGAAGTGAGGAAAAAGAAGGGGAGGAAGATCTTTGGAATGATGAAGATACTCTTTTCGTTTTAAAAATGTATGTAACTAAGTTCTCCCTGTCCAAAACCTTCAGAGCAATACCACGTAAAAAGGCCACATAAGTAAAATGTTGCTGTGGATACCAGCAATATCCACTCAAAGTACTGAAAACAGACGAACCAGTATTTATCAGAGGATGTCATTTCCAAATTAGATTCATTCAAAAGTATACTAAGTACTACCGCCAGTTTACTTTTGTAGGTAGTCGAGGAACCTGTGTCAAAAAAAGAAAATTATCTCAAACTTGGAATTGGTAGAAGAGATTACTATTAGGAGTTCGGCTTGATTTGGCAATTTATAGCTCTGTTGGGACATTAGTTAACTCAGGAGATGAAAAAATGTCTTGTGAACAGATTAACCCTAGAGGGTTTATCGCCCCTTTGGTTATTTCCCAGTTTTGTATACAAGTCACACCCAACAATCTCACCTTAATATTTTTTGGTAAATCGCCGTCATATACCTAATTTTCCAAATGCTCTTGGACCGGTTTTCCCATTTTACTGGTTCTCTTATTAATTAAGTAAAATCTTTGAAGCACACTCCTTTTATATTGGTCCGAGTCGGGACTTTTACCTTATAAGAAATCCCTTCACGAGGTAATTTAGAAACTTCCCCACCTTAGTTCTACAGCTCTCTGAAGCTTAGTAACCGCGGCTATACCGAAGCCAAGCGTGTCGGTTCTCTCCGCCCGGGCCAGGACACACAACCCACCCGATTACCCACATTTCCCTCTTGATTAAAATGTTGTAAAATCGCCATTACGAGGCGCAAAAGAGAAAAAAAATGACGGGCGAAATGCTGTCCCGCTAGCCCCGTTCATCGTCGTGCTTCCTTCCCGCGCTCCCACGACCGCCACCCTCAGCCTATTCCGGCCCCTGCTCGAACTTCGCCAGACCGCATGGCAGTCGCCAGGAGTCTCGGAAAAGCTTAGAACCTTAACGCTTTGGTTGGCTTCCTGACCCATTTTCCAACCCTACCCTCCTTTCACCTCGAAACGAGACGTCCCAACCTCCCCAAAAGCAAAAATCACACCTACAATGGGGTATAAGACCTAAGCACCAAGACTCGCACACTCACCGGCGACATTTTGAAAGCCGGGCTTTCGATCACAAGTAGGCCACCCCTCCCACCGCACGCATTTATAGCAAAGCGTGCTGCGTCATGCGCACAGAGCGCAAGATGGTCGCCTCCCGGAAGAGAACGTGGGGAGGAGCGCCGAGGCCAGTAACCCAGGAAACCGGGGCGCGGCCCAAGGAGCTCAGGCTTGTCGAGCGGTCAGGCGGCTTGTCCCGAGGAGCTAGGCGAAGGTAGGCCGTCAAGTTTCCTGCGAGCGCCCACCAGCGGTGACAGTTGGAATGATTCACGATTTGCTGCAGGTGATGACCCACCGTTAACCTCAGTGGTTTCTTGGTCACACTCACACACACACACGCGCACGCGCACGCGCACGCGCACGCGCACGCGCACGCGCACGCGCACGCGCACGCGCACGCGCGCAATCATCTTCCCTTGGATCTTTCCACTCATGGCGAGGAAGTTCTCGCGTTGTTTGGGGGGTCTCCTGTCTTAAATCGCAATTATAATCCTCCAGCGAAAAAGTTCTTTTTGTATCTATGTTTTGTCTGCGAGTCTTGTTTTCTAAATGACTGTTGAGGGAAGTCGATGTTTCGGGGAGGCAAATAAACTAGGTTCTCAAAACAACAAAACAAAAAAAAACCTTTAAGAGGAAAACACTAGTGCTTATTTGCTTACGTATCAGGGGTAATCGATTCTACTTTATTATGGCTTTTATTGTGAATCCTAGGACTCCTGACTTCTGTCCCAAATGACTCCCCATTTAAATTCAACGAATACTTGCTGAGCCCTAACTATAAAAATGTACAAGGCACATGAGTGTTATTGCCTTGAAGATAGAAAGAAAAAAATTGTTTTGAGCTTTGAAGGACTGTAAATTGATGTCAGATCAGAAAAGTGGTCTGCCTTTCAGCGTTTTGTAGAACTTTTTTTTTTTTGTAGAGGTGAAACTTTCAAAGGTAAAGGGATAGGGTAGATTTTTGTTATTAATTGGGAGAGTGACCCTAGAAAGTGACAACTGTGTATGACCTTTATAACAATTAGTAATAGTGGGAACTATGCTTTAATCAAGCATACAACATGCAGGGTTTGGATAGAGGTGCTGAATTCCTAGAAGAAATCAATTTCAAGTTTTTTGGTTGCCTCAAGAACCACAATGATTTCTTTTCCAAACATTAAGAGGAAAAAAAAGAGCAATGAACATTTTTTCCTTAAAGGCTCCCTTGGCTGCAGAGCAGAAATGATCCTTGTATTAGTGGATATTTTGAAAACAAACCATTAATTGAGGCTTATTATTTCACTTGTTTTTGGCAGCCTCCCATGTCATGACTTAAGAGACACCACCAAAAAAATGAAAGCAATATAAAAAAAGGGAGAATATATTTTCAAATGATAAATCTACCAAGGGGTTAATTTTCAAAATATATATAGAACTCATACAAATAATCTAAAATGATAACAAATCATCTGATTTTAAAATGGGCAGAAAAAAACTGAATAGACATTTTCCCAAAGAAGATATTCGATGGCCAACAGGCACATGAAAAGATGTCCAACATCACTAATCATTAGGGAAACGCAAATCAAAACCACAGTGAGATATCACCTCACACCTGTTAGAATGGCTATTACCAAAAACACAAAAAATAACAAGTGTTGAAGAGGATGTGGAGAAAAGGGGGCCCTCATACACTGTTGGTAGAAATGCAAATCAGGGCAGCTGTTATGGAAAGCAGTATGGAGTTTCTCAAAAAAATTAAAACTACCACATGATATGGCTATACCACTTCTGGGTATTTACCCAATGAAAATGAAACACTTATTCGAAAAGATATATGTACTCTTGTGTTTTTTGCAGCATTATTTATAACAGCCAAGATATGGAAACAATCTAAATGTCCATTGGTAGGTGAATGGATAAATAAGATGTGATACATGTATACAATGGACTATTAGTCATAAAAAGAATGAAGTCCTGCCATATGCAACAACATGGATGGACCTGGAGGTTATCATGCTTAGTGAAATAAGTCTGCAAAAGATAAATACTTCATGGATTCACTTAAGGTGGAATCTAAAAAATAAGACAAATGAACAAACAAAAAAACACAAAATAGACTCATAAACATGGAGAACAAACTGGTGGTTGCCATAGGGCAAGGGGGATGGGAAGATGGGCAAAATAGGTGAAGGGGATAAAGAAGGACAAACTTCCAATTATAAAATAAATAAGTCAAGGGGATGAAAATTATAGCATAGGGATTATAGTCAATAATATTATAATAACTTTGTATGGTAACAGATGATAACTACACTTATCATGGTGAGCATTCTGTGATGTATATAATTGTTAAGTCACTATGTTGCACAACTGAAACCAACATAATATTGTATATCATCTATACTTCAATTTAAAAAAACCTTAATAACTATTAAGCCATTTATACAAACAAGATATTAAAAACATGTGTTTCAAAATATTTCCAAAATAACTAGTTAGAAACCAAATGGAAAAAAAGGGTTTCTCTTAATTAAGAAAAAAACCTTAAGAAAAATATAATCAGAAATGTGCAGAGGGTGAGACTAAGTATTGTAAATAACTAAAAATTTCCCAAGTTTTACACACACACACAGTATATATTAACACAATGCTGGTCAACACCCCAGATATTTTTTATTTTGATAATGTGTATGAAATAATAAATGTCTGGCAGGAGTCAAGACAATTTAGATCAATAAAGGGAAGATGTCTTTTCAGCTATTCAAAAATAAGATACTGTGATATATGATAGGTATATTTCTAATACAAACTTCAGTCATTGGATCTATATGATACTGGAGCCTGACTAGATCAGTAAAATAAAATGTAGGACAATATGACATACTAGATTCACAAAGAAACCCCTTCTTCTGTAGCCACCTTATAAAAGCTAAAATACAGTTTTGTGAACAATTTCTAATATATGGTTAAGCTTGCAGACATGTAAAAGAATTTTTTGAAGGTAGAAATGTCAAGCCCCCATGATCATATAAGTTGGGGCTAAGTTAGTTCTGCTCAAAAAACATGAAAAAGCTCCAAATTAAAGTGCATTTTAAAGTGTGCTTGGACTGGTAGTGCCAAGCAGAAGCAGATGCAGATCTTTCTGGACAAATGGACTTTAAATCCAAGCACAAAGGAGTCCCCTGAGATAAACTTACAAAAATATGAGCTGACAAAAGGTTTTTTATTACTGAGTTCACAGGAAAACAATCATGAATGAAAATAAACCAAAAAGTCCTGTAAAATCAAACCCAAATAAGAGAATATATATATTTAAATTATAAGATTCAGAATATAAAATAAGTATCTTAATGTGTTTAAAATTTAAAGGATTTAAAATATGATAAGTAAACCAGGGACAATAAAAATTGGCCATTGAATTAAAAAGAAATAACAAAGTAAAACATCTAGAAATTAAAAATAGAAAAACTTAAGTTAGAAAGAGTGGATGAATTAAATAGGATAGTAGGTACAGCTGCAGAGAAAATTAGTGAATTGGAAATTACTAAAAATGCAATATAGGAAAACAAAGAGATAAAAAAATAACATATATGTTAAGAGACAAGGATATCAGAGTAAGATTCCTCCAGTTATGTGAAAAGGGAAATCTAGAAGGACATAATAGAGATAATGAGAGAAAGGTACAATGTAGAGAAATAATATATGAATTCTCAGATTCAGGAAGTCCAAAAAACTCAAGAAGAATAATTTAAAAGAAATTATACCTAAATACATTGTAGTGAAACTTCAAAACACAAAGACAAAATTATTTCAAAAGAATCCAGCAGGAAAAGACAAAATACTTACCAGAATTACAGTAACGGCTGACTTCACATTGGCAACAATGGAAGCTGGAAGCAGAGGATTATTATCTTGAAAGTGCTGAAAGAAAATAACTCTTCCTAGACCTACAAAGTATAAAACTATCTTTCAAGAGTAAAAATGCATCTAAGACATTTTTAGATAACAAAACTCGAAGTTTACTACCAACATACCCCAATAAAAGAATTCTGAAAGATATACTCCAGGAGAAATGAAAATGGTCCTAGAAAGAAGGTCTATATGCTAAAAGAATAGTGAGCAAAGAAAATGGTTAAGTTTTGAGTAAATCTAAACAAACACCAACTACTTTTAAAAGTGCCAAATATTTATTTGTGTGTTTTGGGTCCTGGTAATGTTCTGTGGCATGATCTTGGTGATGGTTGCATGACAGTGTTTATTTTGTGAAAATTCATTATAAGCTGTAAACTTATAATCTCTGTATTTTTTATATATGCATATGTTACATTTCATTTAAAATAATAAAATAGTTTAAGTTACTGTATGCCAAAATATGACAAATTCAATGAAATGAATGGATTCCTAGAAAAATACAACTTAAATTCTACACCAGAAGAAACAGATAAACTGAAGATGTCCTATCTTTTAAGTAAATTCAGTTTGTAATTAAAACCTTCCTACAAGAAAAACACTGATGGTTTTTACCAGTGAATTCCACCAAACATTTGAGAAACAGATAATGCCAACTGTAACAAATACCTTTTAAGCTCAAACTCACATTCTGTCAACCTACTTTTTAACCCAGAAGAGGGGAGCATTTATCCAGTTTCCTGTGCCGGGTTGGTCGATGGTCACCCATGGGATGTTAACTCCCTGTACTTCCACCTCCAGTTCATGCATGTGTAAGTGAGTGTTGCTGGGGAGGCTCCCACAAGGGTCCCATGCTTTGTGACATAGAGACCAAGGGGTATAGGTGAAAAATATGAGGGGAGATGCTGTCAAGTTTTGTCTGATGCAAACTAGTTGCTATACCCTTCTTCCTTCTCTTGAGTGGACAATTCAGAAGTACATTCCACATCACTATGTAGAAGATCCCAGCAGGATTAAACCTTACTTGTCCCCAGCACATTTCTTTTTGCTCCTTCTCCTTCCCAGTGTCACATTTCTCAATTCCTTACTATTGTTACCTGGAATCATTTCCCAGAATAAACCAAATGCATTCAGCCAATGGGCTAAGACACAAATTTGACACAGACTTTTCAGTCGTCAACTTATTTTATGAAGCAAACATAACCTTAATACTAAAACTTGACAATGAC